CCGTTAACATTTAGGAACAGTGCTAACCTCTTCATTTTTTTCTGTTGTTCTAAAGAGGTGACAAGGTCAACATCATTGTCTATAGAAGGCCGTCCACGTCAAAAACCGGCCAATGCATCAGGGTATATATTGTTATGCTCCAGGTACCACTCTACGCGAGTCAGCACCAATCTCTCCATCACTTTGTCAAAACAGCTAGCAAGCGCAATGGGCTGGCTGATAGGAGGTCACGTCCAGAGGTGATTTGCCTGGCTTGAGCAGGGGCACAAGTTGGCTGCACTTCGACGAAGGAGGAACGAAACCGTTGCTCCACGAGTCACTGTATATATCTACAGGGGCACGCCGAGCTGTAAGTCCGATATTAGCAAGGGCCATGTAAGTGACTTCGTCAGCTTCAGGAGATGACGAACACTTGCTTTCTGCCTAATGCTACTTGAAGCTCTTCTAGAGCATACATATTGTCTAGGCGAGTGTCTCTACAGTGCAGCGCGTTTCCTAGGTTACTCACGGTGATCGCAGACTTCTTGTTCGCAACCCTGGCGCAGAAGTCTTCTGCTACAGCTATTTCAAGTGTCGGCTTTGGTGGGGAGCAAGGCATTGGAACGGGGAAATGCCACTGTGGCAATGTTCGTTGGCCACCGATTATCTCTATATTTGTGGAAGAGGTTTGTAGGGATTGAGCGACTCGCATGATGACGTCCATCGCAGCGACTGCAGTGCCTTGATTCGACGCTGAATCTTTTGTACACGTTTCGCCTCCCACAACTCGTAGATGTATTTTGTGCGCCTATGGTGTCGTTCGGCACGACGACGGATTGTTCGGAGTCACTTCAACGCCAATTCATATTTACAGAAGTCTGACAGAGGTGCACAATTAAACGTTGCTTCTTGGATAGTAACTTTCATTATACCTTTTAGGCTTTCAAGAGAACCTTCTTGCTTTACCTCGCACAGCTTCTCTGTGAATAACCTGTACTTTGACCAGTCAATCTTCGAAGAAGAAGCGATCTGCGACTTGCCTAACTCCTTGATCTTTCTTTAGAAGTCAATGTGAACGCTGTCTTAATTTTCATTGTGTGCAAATCACTGCACCTTGGTACTTAGGCTACTTGACACAAAAGTTAGGTCGAGGAAGCTGCTATATGCTGCACCCCGTTAAACGTAGGAGTGCCGTCGTTTAAATAATAAGGTTCATGGCCAGATGCCAAAGAGAACGCATTACTTCCCCGAAGGTCCATCTTCTGGCTTCCGCACAGTGATTGATGACTGTTAAAATCACCATTAATAGTCTATGACCCAGGTGTTGCTGTTATAATGACACTTAATCTTACAGGTTCAAAGCAGCCTTAAGGCGAAATATGTACTGCCACTAGCGTAAAAGTCACGTTCTTACGTTTAATTGTCAGGCATACCTATTGGTTGCTGTCATCCGGTGTTACTAGATGCTCAGTATATGTGAGTTCGCCCTCTGATGTAAACAACGATCTTACTGTTGTCGTTACAGGTTTCATATCTAAAAGCTTCTATTTAGATAGTCGTATGGCATTATGAAGGCATTGTTCACAAATGACGGTAATTGAAAATTGATTTTTGAATAGAAATGAACGAAAATCTGAAATGCGGGGTTAAAGGCCTCGGGTATTCCGTTGGAAAATTGACGCTTCTTTCTATGGAAGTTAGGTATGGATGGGCTGCAGAGAAAGAGGCATGGTGCTTTTCTGGACAGCAGTGGATATAAAGCGTCCAATATTTGAAGGGCGTTGTGAGCAGCTGAAGTCTGAAATATTCAGGAGTTCCTATTGGTATCCCTAAGAGTCTTAATACAACTATCATTTTATTATCTTCACTGTATACCTTTTGTGTACTAAACACATATCACATTCTTGTATTCGTACCAATAAAAATGTGAAAAAAAAATCTGAAACTGTCGCGACTTGCTCTGAAGAAGCTTTCAGTGGGCGATGCTGCGGCTCGACTACTGGCCAATTCATCGACAGCAGCGCTGGCCACGCGTCAGATGGATGAATTCTTCTTGCGTATTTCTGAGTATGCTTGTTGTTGGCACTTGTTGGTGCTTGTGGGGATGAGTGCGTGATGAGGGGTAGCTGTGTATCCTTGGCCTTGGCAGAAGTTGTCCTAAAAGTTGTCCTGAGACGAGAACGCTGATGTCGCACTTCAGAAGCTGCGTCACTGTGGGTGGAACCGTCTCTTGACAGCTGCCTACGCACTTGAATATCCTTTGTATCTGGGCACTCCTTTGAAGGTGCATCGTGAGGACCTTCGAAATTGTCGCACTTGCGATTTTCTGCTTGGCAGGCTTATGTGTTGCGTGACTCTGAGCATTGGGAGCACACAGCACAGTTTGTGCAAACAGTGCTCACATGTCTCATTTTACAGCAGTTCTGACACTGAAGAGATCTCGGCACGAACGGCCACACTGTGTGTTGAAAATGACCAACTCTTGCCTGAGATGAAAGACTCACCCTTGAAAACAAGTTTTACGCATCGTGAGTTCTAGAGACGGTGGGCTTCCAAATTGGTGGTAGCTTCCGTCAATGGTTTGATTAGAATTAGAAAATCAATATCGTTGATAGAAGTGTCGACGTCGTACATAACACCTGCCCTATAGTCCTTGTCATCTGATATGTAAGAACGTACGTTGATATTCACCAGCACATTGACTTTGCTCAATACGTCCAAAGTAGTAGGTTGCGTAACGTCTATCGGCGGAACGTTCTTGCTGCCATTAATTCTCACGTCTGTTATTTGTCCCGGAACGAGTGCCTCAAAAGATACAGACGTGGCTTGGAGATTAAAGTCGGTTACTGTTGTCAGCTGCACTCAGCTAGACAAACAAAAGAGTTTGAACTGGCGGCTCGCATATTCGCGATGTTCCTACTTTGGGAAGGAGATGTCGTAAGTAGCCTTGTCATGGGTACCAAGTCAATTTCATCGGAGCTCTCATCACTGGCTATAGAGTATTCGCAAGTTTGCTCGCGTATAGGGGGTGCACATGGTGGTTCAATATGGCACCCACAGAAAGTATCGGAGTCGCTAAGTACATGTGCGGCCTGCACTGCGGTGTATGTGTGTTTTTTTTTGCTTCGTCATGGCTGTACTCTTTTTGCAGTCACTAATTATGCGCCACCTAGATGCTTCAGAAACTCGGATACGATGAATCGTTGAAGACGAAGAGGTCCTGATTGCCAAACGCATCACTTGCTATAGCGTGAAATGTCCCTGCACATAGCCCTCCACTAAAGGCGTGCCTTAAGATCGTTACGTGGTTTGTGACGTGAAACCCGAAATAGTGTTATAACATTCTGTATTTCCTTTTGCGTCCTCGATTGTGTGCGGATACTTACCGATGTAAGATTTGACGAACTAATCACAATGCCGATGGTTTTGACACGTTTTTGAAAAAAGTCACAGCTTTGCCGCAAAGGCGAAACAATGAACGCAATAGCAACAAATTGGAAGGTAACGTGCCGATTGGCAAGCAAATTGAAACGTGCACCGCGTTTCTCATGCACAAATGACGCACGAAACGTAGTCACAAGCACACATGAACGCGAATAAGCGTCTCAGTTGTTACTTTGTTGTGTGTAAAAAGAGCACCCTTTTCACGGAGACTTTGCAATGATTGCAACGACCTTCGTGTGCCCGGTAACTACAACAGAAACGTTATAGTTAAAGCCCTACACCAACCAAGACGCACATGCGCAATCTATGAGCGCCGCTGCCCCGCCGCTACACCAATCTTATTTGAAAAAATTTCGCTGGTGGCCATGGGGTGGCGAGACAGTCTACGGAACACGCGAATATCAGTGTGCCCTCACTGTCGGCGTTACTTGGGTGGCCGAGCGCTTTCTTAGAGTGGCCACAGACGACGTGGGAGATACGGATAGAGGCCCCGGTGAATCTACGTCCATTTCTACAGGCAGAAGAACGGCGTCTTTCACAAGCACCAATGAAATTAGGAAAAACTAAAAGAGACTGAACAAGCATTCCACTTAGGAACCACTTCGTCTTCCCCCTCTCCGAGTGGCTATAAGATTTTCTGTATGGCACTGCAGCCATGATGTTAGGTAACACTTGCTCACGAGCGCTGCCGGCAGCTCATCGCGGGTGTTTGTTGATAAATTTACTGATGCTGGAGAATGACAGACTCACTGTATATACGGAGTCTCAAATGCGTGGGCCATGGACCGCATGTACCCGGTCGATTTGTCGCGACCGGCCTGCGGCTCGCAAATGACTGTGATAATTTCATGATTTGCTCAATTTTTTCCACCGAGTATGTTCACGAGCTACTCTAACATGACTAGCCTTAGGCATTTCTTATGTGAGGCACACCATGGCGTCACCATGAGTTGAAACATAATCGTCGAGAAAAAACTGTGTACATTTCAGACATCAGCCTCGGCAAAGGGAGGGGGTTCAAAAGGGATGCTTGCATGCCCCTCAAGCAACACAAGTACATGTCATCACCTAAGCTACAACAGTGCTCTCCCACTCCCTCATTCAGGAAGTAATACCGATTTGCAGCCCCCAAGAGAAGATCTGCTCATTTACCATAATTTCTGAATCGGCGTACAAATTTTAGTGATTTCAGAAATTGGTGAACACGTGTTTCACGAATCTCCTCCCCAAATGCTCTCCAGGGATGTGAGAAAATTGTTCTTCTAATTGACAACGTCAGATAACAAATTGTTCTAGCTGCATCCCTGCTCCCACTCTCCTCCGCGCTGTAGCCTTCTTCAATGTTCCGGCTCTCGCGGGACTCAATTTTACGACTGCGGCTCGCTAGCTAAAGCTAGCTTCAAACCCTTGTTGTAAATAAACAAAATAAGTGAAAATAAAAGCGTTCCCTGCTCCAATATCTCCCACAGTGAAAACTAACGTCCATAATTTGCCGGCTTGTGATGGCAAGATAAAACGTAAACATTTCAGAGGCCATGATGGCGCGCATGCGAAAACAAGCGAGGATTCCTACATACCACTTCAGTGCTCATGGTGTTGCAGGAGCGCAGAGGCAGCGTGTAGACAATCTTGTCACGCACGTTGCTGTACTCGGCCATGCAGGTGGAATTCTTGGACAGTCCCTTGGGGTAGATCATGCCATTGAAGTCGTGCGTTGCCTCCAACGTCACCTGGATGTTGTTGCTGTTGCATTCGATGTTCACGTCTGAAGCCTCACCACCCTCTGCGCAAAAAAAAAAAATTCGGAGGGCACGTTAGAACCAAGCATGAGCGCCTCTGACACGTTCTTGATCGCGCGCACCAAAGATATCCAGTGTATTTTACTTATGGCCATCACTCCAACACAACTGACATACGTCCAGGATAAATTTCAGGCTACTAAAACAATCATCGTTACATAGCAGCTGGAACATCCGTAAATAATATTGTATTGAAAATAAAGGGAAAATAACTCTCAGTAATTTAAGATTAGCAATTCAACTGGCCTGTTAATTTTGACTGAATACATTTTTCCTTGCACTTGTTGCACTTCATTATTTTGATTTATTCATACAAGGTTTCTTGTGAAGTACAAGGCAATGCAGTCGGTTACGGAGAGCTATTCTACGCACTTGGCCTTAATGTGAACATTTGAACACCTCATCTTTGTTATTTGACCTAATCAGTGCAGAATAAATACTTGTCGGCTAGGTAATGTTTGAGGAGTGTTACGTGTAACATCCTGTACACATGGGCACGACATGCGGCTGTCATTATCAGTCAATCAGGTGGCATAGAAATGTTCATCTTTTCTGCCACACGTGCTGCCGAGTTTGTGTTTCACCATGAGATGGTGGCTTTCTTCGTACCATTACAAGTATTAAGGCCTGTAGAATTCCAGTATTGAACGGGAATGCTTTTTTCATTACCAACCGAAATAGCTGGAGGCTTCTGTTAAAGCCCCCACGGTAGGCTCAAGCATAAGCGCACGTGATAGGGACTGCGTTCAGTCCCATCGCACTCAGCGCACACAAACTGCGAGCAGTCAGAAGAATCGACGACAGGGCCAACTAGTGTCACGCGGCCGCTGCGATAAGCCATCTTCAGTAAATTGGCTGAGGCCCTGGCGAAGCTCATTAATCAGTAAGAGCGAAAGCGGCGGCAACATACGCACTTCGGGTTCGTTCGCTTTAGAGGCGAAAACGCACTGCGTTCATGAACGCCCAACCCACCTATCCCACTTGTCTAGTTTGTGTTAGGCTTAACAATAAAGGAAATGTTCGTCGTCTTCTGCTTCTCGATCATACGGGGCATCAAATGCGCTGTGCGCGTGTGTGTTTTATCAACTTCTTTTTGGTGTATCAACGTTGGAGACCCGACTGCAACTTCAACCGAGATTTCTCGCACATCCATCACGGCAGAAGCGTCTCACGTGTGCCTGGTCACAACGGGGCGGTGAAGGGCGTGCTTTGCACCGAAAGAGCCAATTATGCTTTCTTTCTTTCGGACTTGGAAACTCTGTCGTCTCTGCATTCGTTCAAGTTCTGCAACTTTGTGACAATCAGTCTCGACAGCTGCCATGCAGCGAAAATTTGGCAATTCAAGTTTGGCTTTTACTTCTTCCAGCATCATAGCGCAAAGGACATTTGGTAATATTTAGTTTTTCCTGAAAAAAGTATTCACTGAAATTCAGCACATGTTGCGTCTTTTTTACCGATAACAGTGATCAGTATTATGAACGAAAAATTTTTTATATTGTCACGGGTTGAGAGTAGAGAAAAGGTAAAACAAAAATGTATTTGCAGATTGTACACGGAGTACGCAGAGACTTGTTCTGTTTGTTTTGTCACCTAGAATATCTCGGCTCACCCGACCAAGAGAGATTGGCCGCATTGTACCTTATACCTCACATTTTATTACAATGCTTGTTAAAAGAAAGAAAAAATCAGATAAAGACTTGATGAAAAAGTCACAGCTTTGCCGGAGAGGCGAAGAAGTGTACGCGATAGGAACAAATTCAAAGGTCAAACGCAGAATCGAAAACAGATTGAAACGTGCCCCACGTTCCTCACGCACAAAACGTACTCACGAGTACGGGTGCACGCGAATAAGCGTCTCATTTGTTACTTTGCTGTGTCTGAAAAGCGCGCGCTTTTCACAAACGGAGACTGCAATGATTGCAGTGACCTTTGTGCACCAAGTAACTACAGCAGAATCGTTCCTGGTAAAGCCCGACGCAAGCCAAGGCGTAGGACCTTCCCCTCCTCATCACCATGAGATAAGGGTGCTTGATGGAGCATTGCTTCCTCACGCACCCTTATCTCGCCGGGCAAAGTACGCGTAGGACCTTAGAGCAGGCGCCGCTGCACGATGTGGCGACGCGTGCTCTTTGCGCCATCTTGCTGGAAATGCTGAAAACACAATATCCTCTGAGATACTCGTGAGCAGCGGTAAGTGGTAGATATAAGTAGCTTGCCGTTTTAAAACGCGAGCTACGGGCAGAGCTAGATGATTTGGTGAAAATCGAAGCAGAAAACCCGGGCTTATTTACACATCAACTGCAGGTTGTCAAAAACAAATTGAATGCCTTGAAGAAAATAAATATAAAGGCGCAATTATACGAGCAGGAGCTGAGAGGTACCTCGTGGGTGAAGCCCCGACAAAGCGAGCCTTGTCAGATGAAAAGGCATATGTGTGAGCTCAAGACATATTAGAGATAGAATAGAGTGGTAAAATATTGAGAGAACATAAAGATGCCATGAAAGCTTTTGAAAGCTACTATGAAGACTTGTTTGCTTATCACGAACCAAAGTAGCCGGGTATTGTCGATGAGTTCTTGATAGAAATGCCGACACCTAATGCTGAGGACACAATTTTATTGAAAATGTCTATTAGTATAGGGAAAATATAGAGGGCTATCGATGATTTTGGCATGGGTAACTCACCTGGTCCAAATGGCATTAATGCCGCCTTTTACAAGGCGTTCAAGGAGGATATGGCCGCCACATTGCATGAGGTTTTTTCAGAGTCTTTAGATCGCGGAACTCTGCCTTTATCCTTCAATCGTGCGCACACTGTGCTCATTCCTAAAGGAAAGAGCAACATGTTTTACGCAAAGTGACAGGTTACAGGCCAATCACGCTAACAAACGCAGATTATAAGTTGTTTATGAAAGTTCTGGCTAGGAGGTTGCAAGGAGTTATATACAAGTTGGTCGGGCCACATCAGACTTGCGGCATCAAGCGTAGGAGCATATTCACGAATATTCATGTCGCCAAGAGCATTTTGGAATATTTTGACGCTGCGCCTATGAAAGTAGTCATGTTACACAGTGATCTAGCTAAGACTTTCGACATGGTTCTACACAATACACTCTTCCCGGTAGCTGAGTACGTTGTTGTTGGTGCGATCATATGGAAAGGTATTAGACACGAAATACAAAAGCTCAACCACAAATTTAATTGTAAATGAAGAACTCTCATAGCGCATACAAGTACTTTCCTCCGTGCGCCAGGGGTGTCCTTCAAGTTTTTTGCTTTTCGCTCTATTTTTGGAACCACTGTGTCAGAAAGTGATTCACCATGCAGATATTAATTGTTTCCGGTAGCAGTCATGTGAAGTGCGTGGTTTAGCATACGCCGACGATATTGCTTTTTTTGCTGTTGATAGAGAGAGTGTCACTTCGGTATTAAAAATCACTCAACAATTTTGTGATATGAGAAAAAGTTTAATGAACGAAGACAAAAGCATTGGTTTATGGCATGGTAATTGGGACCTAACGCCCAGTTCCTTTGGAAATATTCAGTGGCTCACGACACCTAGTCGTTACCTAAAGGTACCATTGGACAGGTATCAACACAGTGAAGCATTTTGGCTTAAAAATGCTGAAGAACTGCGCGCGAGAGCCGAAGGATGGGGTGGTCGTGACTTATCAATTTTCGCTCGGTCAGCTGTATGTAACGTGTTTCTGGCTGCTAAAATTGTGTACCTTTTGCAAGTACTTAGTTGTACGCATAAAAGCACTCATAAAACCCACAGAATATTCGCCACGTTCATCTGGAGCTCTGCATGGGAGCGAACATCTAGAACGAACTTGTTTCGGCGTGTTAAGCAAGGAGGGCTGTCTATATGCCATCTGTTTTTTAACCAAGTAATATCAGGTTTCCTGCTAGTAAGAGACCAGAGAAACTCTTTTTCATGTTCTTTATTTCAAACAACGCTAGTACACCACATGCTTGACTTCTTTGTATCTTCAGACATGGGAGAACGATACACCTTGTCACCGTTCTTGCGCGAAGTTGTGTTCTCATATCGTTTCTTAAGGGCAAGGTTTTAGATAGATTACCTGACTAGTGTGAAAAGAAAGCGCCTTATGAAAGACTTAATACAGAATGTTTTTCCTGTGCCCCTTTACCGTTCAAAGTATAAAAAATCATATGGACATGACGTACTAAAGTGAGTGAAAAATATGTGTACCCCACCCAATGTTAAAGCCTTCTTTTTCAAACTTCATACGGGAACCTTGCCAGTAAAAACGTGGCTTGAAGAGAAAGGAATGTATGTACCATGGGGAAGCAGCTGTCTCCTGTGTAAAAAACCTGAGACCATTGAACATGTGTTTATGAAGTGTAAGAATGCTATTTTCTTTTGAGACATTTTACAGGGGGTATTAAAAAAGATTTACCTGTTACTCCGTATGGAATCCGTGTTTAGCCTTGTGATAATTCTGTGCAAAATTTGGGCGTTTTATTTTTACTTGGTCTTTATTTGGTCTGGCGTAGTATGCTATTGTATAGACACTGTGATGTAAGAGTTCTGTCCATTGATGAGTGTTCCGTAGAAGCTGTTATCAAAGTGGGAGACGTGTATAAGACTACCGACTGTGTTGAAGATGTATTATCTTTGTTTGATGCGTTATCACACATGGAACACATGGAACACGTGTAATGAAGATTGTCTGATTAGCTTGACCTGTAGTCAAGAAAACAATAAAGAAAATAAAAGCCCCGGTGCAGCTCAGTGTATAACGCCTCGCCTTCACGACGCAGAAGTCCCACGTTCAATTCCGCGTGCCGGAGTGTTTTTCTCAGGATTTTTTTCGTTCTTGCGTTTGCATATATGTAGATATGTACACATATACAGTGCATGACATCGACGTCGACGCTGGCGGCAAAATCCCGCTGAAAATGTCCATATAGTTGCTATCGCAATAATAATACCGCACATTAAAAGAAAGTGAAAAGG